TGTTGGTCAGGCTGGTTTCAAACTCCTGACCTCAAGTGATCCGACCACCTTGGTCTCCCAAAGTGCTGGAATTACAGGAGTGAGCCACAGCACTGGGCCGCTTTTTATTTTGTTGAGATAGAGTCTTGCTGTGTTGCCCAGGCTGCAGTGCAATGGTGTGATCTTGGCTCACTGCAACCTCCACCCTCCGGATTCAAATGATTCTCCTGCCTCAGCCTCCAAATAGTTGGGATTACAGGCATATGCCACCATGCCCGGCTAATTTTATATATATATTTTTAGTAGAGATGGGGTTTCACCATGTTGGCCAGGCTGGTCTGAAACTCCTGACCTCAGGTGATCCACCTGCCTTGGCCTCCCAAAGTGCTGGAATTACAGGCATGAGCCACTGTGCCCAGTCTCTTTTTCTTACACACAAATAAATCTGGTCTATCATTTCTTTTTTTTGAGACAGAGTTTCACTCTTGTTGCCCAGGCTGGAGTGCAGTGGCATGATCTCAATCTCAATCTCCCCTCACTGCAACCTCCACCTTCTGGTTTCAAGAGATTCTCCTGCCTCAGCCTCCCGAGTAGCTGGGATTACAAGCACCCACCACCACGCCCAGCTAATTTTTGTATTTTTAGTAGACACGGGGTTTCACAATGTCAGGATGGTCTTGAACTCCTGACCTCGTGATTCGCCCGTCTTGGCCTCCCAAAGTTCTGGGATTACAGGTGTGAGCCACCGTGCCCAACCCTTGTGATTTCTTATAATACTGTACTTTAATAAAGTGTCCACCTATATTTTCAGTGTTTTTTTAAACAGACAGGTGCTCACTCTGCTATACAGACTGGAGTGCAATGGCATGATCATAGCTCACTGTAACCTCAAACTCCTGAACTCAAGCGATCCTTCCACCCTAGACTCCCAAGTAGCTGGGACTACAGGTGCACGCCACTGTGCCCAGTAAATTTTTAAATTTTTGTAGAGACAGGGCCTCGCTATGTTGCCCAGGTTAGTCTCCCACACTTGGCCTCAAGTGATCTCCTGCCTTGGCCTCCCAAAGTGCTGGGATCACATGCATGACATGAGCCACTGAACCCAGCCGCTGTCTCATTTTTCTAGTACTTCTCGTATGGAATGGCTTACTGGTCTTCTAAATCCAGAATCATTCATTATATATCAGACCACTTTGCAATTTTTTTTTTTTTTTTTTTTTGAGATGGGGTCTCGCCCTGTTGCCCAGGCTGGAGTGCAATGGCGAGATCTCAGCTCACTGCAACCTTCACCTCCTGGGTGATTCTCCTGCCTCAGCCACCCAAGTAGCTGTGATTACAGGCATGTGGCACCACACCCGACTAATTTTTGTACTTCTAGTACAGACGGGGTTTCACCATGTTGATCAGGCAGGTCTCAAACTCCTGACCCTGTGATCTACCTGCCTCAGCCTCCCAAAGTGTTGGGATTACAGGCGTGAGCCACTGTGCCCAGGCCACTTTGCTATTTCTTTTAACAAAGTTGTACTCAATACAGTTACTGTTGTTTTGTATTTTTATCTTATTATATTACATTGTATATATTGTTCTTATAAATTACTTTTTTTCTTTTATATTTACTAAAGTAGCATATTAACTTTTTTAGAAATCATATATGGATTTACCTATGACTTATCTATGAATTAAGTTCAAGCAAAATACTCGTTATAAAAAGGAGTCACTGAGTCTCAGAGAATTAAGCACTAGGATCACTGGACAGTGCCTGGAAGAAAGGACTTCTTACTCCTCCTTTCTCAGCACCCTTAGTGAGTGGACTGAGGGCAGCAGATGGATGAGCTAAGAGAGGCCAAAACAGCAATGGTATGGGGTGTGGGGTGTGGAGTGTGGGGCAGGGAGGGCAAGGAATACTGACAGCAGGATGATCAGGGCCCAGGGTGCTCTCCCGGATGCTGAGGGCATCATTCAGCAGGTGGGCAGCTTCCTTATACTTATTCTGGTCCCTGGAAGAAGACAAAAGTGACAGGAGTTACCCTGAACTCTGCCTGCAAGCCTTCTTCTTCCCTCCTTCCCTTTGGGAGGACTGAGTACATTTAAGGACTGGGGACCTCCATGAGGAGATAGGAAGCCTGGTGTGGACAGTAAGGGGGCTTCACTGA